ATTATAACATAACCAAAGTAAAGCGCGCGCTCTGATTGGTCAATTTAGCGTCCCCCATTTGCCCATGGGTGTACGCTGCTGACGTGAGCAAATGCAAAGACTATTTTTCCGCGCGTGCTTGTTTTTTCTGGTCACGTAAGATTTGTTAAATAAAAGGGAACTCTTTAGCTACAATGTATCAATGTTATGTTATAAAACAAATGGTAAACACCACAGCGTACACTATTGAGTTATGGATGCACTTGGGAGGTTTGCTAAACACTCATGAAGCTAGAGTCACTCTCGGCTATTGCCTCAACCAACTCTTATGCTTCTTTTGTGCTTAGCAACCTCCCGCGTGCATCCATAACTCAATAGTGTATGCTGTGGTGTTTACCATTATTGTTAATTGGTTTTTATCATGTGAGGTAATTATCTAAACTGGCCAAAGCAAAGAGTGTCAAGAGGTGATGGTTAAGCATTGACCCTTTGTGAGAGAATTAGCCCTTCATCGCTTGCTCTGATGCAGGACTAACACTGCAAATGTTAGATTAAAAACTCTTTTCTTTTATTTTGGATTGACGCGGAGATGTTGCCCTAAGTCTCTGTATAATGAAGTTCCTGATCTTTCTTTTTAAATTATTTTATTAAATAAATGCAACATAACAATACGATATCATTATAATTTGGTGTATTTTCTTCTTTAGGTTTTCTGAGCTGCCTGGGAATTTGGAATCTGATATTTAAAGAGAACAAAATATTACACAAACACCAAATCTTAATTCATGTCTGTTCTACTTTGTAACTAATGATTCCTTTTCTCTTTATTTTCTGAAATACTTTCAGAAATTCAGAAATGACAATCATTACTTACTGAGGTCAAGTTAAGATGCCAAATGAATAAGGGGGGCAGGTCTTTAAAGAAACTGTAAAGCTACATCAATGAGAGGGATGGGGTAATACAAGATAATTTGCTTTCATCAACTGACTTGATAAATAAATGTAACTTAGCCACCAAAGAGAGTTTCTTAAATTGACATTTTGAGTGTTAGCTCTTTGTTGGAGGGCTAATACTTACAAAAGTCAGCATTAGAAACTCTCTAAGATGCCAAACTTTGATTCATGGCTGAATTTACTCTCTGTTTTTCTCTTAGCCAAATTCTCGGGTAGTACGGTTGCATGCACACCTCAACTCCCATTTCTATGGAGTTTAAGGGTGTGACTTCTGACCATCTGAGAGTCTGGTAAGATTTGAATTAAGTCTGACTCCAGTCTTTTTCCTTTGCTGCTAAATTTGGTTGAACTAAACATCAGTTTTTTAAAAGTGTGCCTTCATTTTCAAGAACATATTAAAGTGTAATCTTTCTCATTTACTGCCCCCCCTGCCATGTAGACTTAACAAACAATTCCATGTGAAGTTTCATCTAACCCTGAAAGACAACAGTACCTAATAAATAAGTTTCAACTATTACTACCTGAAGCAAAACCCAAATAACACACCAAAGAGATGCCTGTCACCATTGTAAATTTAACCCCTTCAGTACACAATTTCACTGTCAACTCTCCTTTCAACAGATCTATAGAAGAGATGAACACAACTTTCTATTCTAAGGAGACTAACTCATCAACTACGTAGAATCTTTTTGGAAAAAGTACCTGCTAACTGCCTATTGCTGTGTGAAATGTCATAGTGTTGCTATGAAACTGCAAATGCTTGACAAGGAGACTTGTGTCTTGATGTCTTTTTCATATCTTCTTTCACCTTCCATCTCATAAGTTCCAAGCAAGCAGATGCATCTTCATGGCTGTCATGGCCATCAACTGTAGTAAAAATCCAACCAGTATAATATTAAAATAAGAATAGTAAGAAATAATAATTTTTAATATCTGTCAAACATTGACATCGACATTAACGTTGACTCATCCCTACACAGGTTTATTAACAACCAACATAATGACCAGCTCCCAGTTGGCTTGTTAGCTCAGTCGGGCCAGCACTGCATTAGTATTGGAGAGGTCATGGGTTCAAATCCTATACAGGCCTGAATTTTTTTCAGGCCTCATTTTCACTACTGCTTAATTAGTGTTTGTTACTACGAATATCAATCTCATACTCATTATTTAACTGCAGTTCAAATAATTACATGACTTTCATATATTCACAAACATTGTCAAACTTTTAAAAGCACAAGACAAAGATAAATCTAATGCAACTGGCATTCTGTAGAAACTGTCTGAGAGAATCTGGATTAATGGCAGTATCTGAGCTACTGCCCCCCCCACCCCTCCCCCCTAACCCAACAACAGTCAACTGATAACAGTTAGAGCTAATGTTGGGTTAGGGGAGGGGAGGGGTGAGGTGGGTGCACAGTTGCTCAGGTACTGCCATTAATGCAAGACTCTAAATATTAACATCACTAAGTAAAAGAAGCCCTAATAAAGGCTCAAGATCCTATCAAATTAGGCTTGTGTTTCTTAATATGAAAAATAGAGAGTTTCTCATGAGAATGACAATCTAAAGGGCCTTTTACACAAATTGTTTGACTAGAAGACGGCATGAGACAAAACAACATTTACACAACTGCAGAAATTTCAGGAATCCAAACAAAGTAATTTGAAAATTTTGAAGTACAATAGACTAATGTGTGTAATTTTGGCAAAGTTTCCTTAAAAAGAATTGTAACCATTTTTACATCACTGTTATCAAAACTTACCACTATCCTGGATGATCTTTTTTAAGTGCTCCGCCATGAGATTGCGAAGAGCTCTCTTGTAAGGAGGACCCAGTCGGTGGGGAAATACCACAGAGGTATCAACCACTTTACTGTGAATTATCTGAAGAGAAATTAACTTTATTCAATAACGAAATATCTCTTGTCAGAGAGGCTGGAATGATTGCTAGTCCTCAGCNGGCACAGCTTGGAAAGTGACCTCAAGGCAACCAAGGTAAGTTTTGCAGTAAATGGTTTGAACCCGGGGGTAACATGTGAAGGTGTAGTCTGATCGTCCGGGTGAGTGTAGTCCTGAGAAGGACTGTTGTCGGTGGCAGTGACTGACGTTTCGACAACCTGTGCGGAAGTCATCATCAGAGTCAAGTGAATGATTGTTGTCAGTAGCTACTGCCAGTAGTCACTGCCACCGACAACAGTCCTTCTCAGGACTACACTCACCCGGACGATCAGACTACACCTTCACATGTTACCCCCGGGTTCAAACCATTTACTGCAAAACTTACCTTGGTTGCCTTGAGGTCACTTTCCAAGCTGTGGCCCACCAGTATGGTGTCTTTGTGAATCATACTCAACAACACAGCTTGCACTTCATGAATTGTTGTCGTGACACCTCGCAGTGACTCTTCTGTCACTCCACTGAATCTGAACAAAACAGAATGCTTTGTTTAAACCTTCATCCTTGAGGATTGGCAAATAAGTGGGCAAGTGGGAGTACAGGATTTAGCTCAACAACCTTTATTCTACAACAAAATAGTTTAAATCTTGCCTCTGAGATCAAATTATTCTTCAGCAGCAAATTAAGCCAGTTTCAGCCCAGAGGGCCTTACTTTCACCCAGTAACCAAAGCCTGTAAATTGTTGCCCTTTGTTTTTTGTGGTTGTACAACACTAAAACAGTTTCAGCCCTGAGGGCCTTACTTTCACCCAGTAACCAAAGCCTGTAAATTGTTGCCCTTTGTTTTTTGTGGTTGTACAACACTAAGACAGGAGAAGGGGGTGAGAGCCCTTGTAGTATCAATGCAGTGTGTTCTTGAGAAAAAATATGTACACTGTACTTTCTCAGTGCCTCTCTTTGCCTAGGTGCACAGATGGGTCCTTGCAAATGGTCTAGATAACTGGTCCTAAGATACTAAAAGAGGGGGTATGTTTACTTGGCTTGACTAGCTTCCAGATGAAAATGGGAAACTGCATTAATTTTGTTGTCTCTTCATGAAATAGAAACCAACTAAACCTTGCACAATGTGGGCTTTAAATGTGTTGTACAAACACCTGTTTTGTGTTTTGTATCATGTTTTGGGGTGACAAAAACTTTTCCTTCAGTCCCAAAATCATCCATATGAGGTTACAGTAGAGGATTAAGCAGTGAGTGAAAGCCCCTCAAAGTCCAAACTCTTACCTAAGTATTTTACTTCCAAAGTCAAAACAAAGTTATTAACTGTCAGCTTAAATTAAAACTTGCCTGCAGCTGGTGAACCTTACACATGTTGTTTACCTTGTATTATAATCAACAATAGTTCTTTCTGGAATTACAAAGGTGTCATAGACTTGCTCCAAATTCCAGTTTATCACAGTGATGCGGGTCAGCTCCAACCCTGAAGTGGTGTAACACTGAGGAAAGAATAATGCAGTAACCGAATAACTTTGAGTCTCAGGAATTAAATAAAGTTGTGTGTCTATCCCAAGTTTTTCCCCAGTAAGTTGAAATGATTGAGTTTCCATCAAATAATTTAGATTTCTGATGCAAAAGTAAATATGTCAAATATCCCTGCACCACTTAGTTTTAAAAGTACATCAATCCAATATTTTTATGACATTTTTCACAAATAAATTTTTACTCGTGACACAACCACATCAGCTCTACTGTAATTTTTAAACTGTAAATAAAGAAACGCTAACTACTAACTGCTAAAATATGAAATATCGGTTAGTAAATGGTAGATTGTTGTTACAATAGGGTAGCAGATTGAATCTTAAAGATAATTCTGATTGTACCATTAAGATTCAATTTCATCCCTAAGAAGTAAAGTGAATTCAGCAGTCCAGCCAAGCCAAGTGACCAGAGCAGAGCTCATTCTGGTTTCTGCAGCATGAGCTGACTGAAAGTATTGCTTCACCACTCCCCTCTCTCCCCTCCCTCCCTCATTTTATCTGGTTTCCCTGACAATTTGCCAGTACCCATTCAAACTCCTGGTTGGAGAGAGAATTTAAGACAGTGTAGTGTCCTGTGCAAGACCACAACACAGTGACGCCAGCCTAGTATCCCTCTTGCCCCAGGGTCCAGCAGGCTCACCATAAGCCCGTCAATGTTCTCTCTAACAGACATACCAATTCCATTTTTTTTTTTAACCACAATGTGAAATTTACTCTTTTTATCCTTTGAGTCAATCGGTGAATCTGTCAGTCTGCTTCCATAATTCTGTTATTCATAAAAATTTTAATATATCATTGTGACAACTATCAAAGTTTGAGTAGGCAGAAAACTGAAATCTTCTTTAAATAAAATTTTAAAAGCAAATATGAAGACATTGGGAAACAATGTTTACTTACCATTTCACAATCCATGGAAAATATTTTCTTTCGTTTTTCTGCCAACGGACTCACTATGGTGGTCATAAAACCCTCTGTGTTGTTCACACTGTCACTCACATGAACCTGTCAGAGCATAAAACAAATAATGTTTTCACATCTTTTCAGAGTTGATGGTTATAAACAGTGTACAATTGAACACAAGTTGGGAAAACTAAATGGCATGAATATGTTTTGCAATATTTATCTTGGATTCTGGAGGAGGGGTAGGAGAGGTGGGAGGAAAAGTGGGGGTGGTGGCATGGGATAGGAGGAAAAGGGGGAGTGGCATGGGGTAGGAGAAAAAGAGGGGGGTGGCATGGGGCAGTAAATAACAGGATTGAAGCGCTTCATTAAAGTCAACCAAGGCTGTGCTCTAAGGAAAATTGAAGGGAGCCTAGTGCTCTAAAACTGTGAAATCCAGGGTGCACAGCATGTGCTTTTTATGAAAAAACTAAGACTCCTGAGTTGCCCAAAAGCAAAAGTATTAAGGCACCAGGGGCTACCGTGCACTGGTAGACCACAGCCCTGGTTAACAGTCACAACCAAAGTAATTTAGGCACTTCATTTCAATTTACTTTGAAGTCCACTAGTATACATGTAGGTAAAAAAACTAGCCCCTAAAACTGAGCACATTCCTTTTAGAGACCCCTCTTACCAGATTATGAGACATCACAAACTGAATAAAATAAATACTTTATTCCACTATCAGTTTTCCAGTGTCATGCAATGAAACCTTGGCATTGTGTAAATAAATACCTGGATTCTTTCAAGTCTCATTTTTACATCTTGTCTCATTTTTACATCTTATCCCCTTTTTCATTCATTATTTTATCATAAGGTTGTAGTAGTAGTAGGATAAATATTGTAAGAAATATACAACTTTTTTTAGAAACATGTTTTGGCATGCTTATGCCATTTTATATAATTACTCACGTTCAGTTACTCATTGATTGAAAATGGCATAAGCATGCTGAAACATGTCTCTAAAAAAGTTGTATATTTCTTACAACATTATTTTATCATATTAAAAAAACAAACAAACAAAAAACAAAAAAAACAAAACAAAAAAAAAGGTGAACTAAAAGTTATACCTTTCCAATACAGCAGCCAGGGCTACCTGCATCTCCTTGACAACATGAATAATTTGTAATTGGTTCCCCTAAAAGAAATAAAATTCAGGTCAGTCAATAAACTCCCTTGAAAGCTTTTGGCATCAAAGAAGTTCTGTAAAACAACTTTGTGGACACTGAATACTTCACACCAATTAGTTCCTTAACTTCTTGATTTGAGCCCTGGTTAGGGCTTTGCATCACGGAGTAACCATAATTAGGATGCATGCCTCCCAGTTGATTCTGGATCTACTCTTTTGATATATTTTGATATATTCCTCAGTTAGGGGGGAGGGGAGAAGGAACAAACAAGATAAGAAACTGCAATATTTACTCAGAGAAATAAACAGTGATGTAAAATATGTGAAAAAAAATTACCTCTTCTTCGAAATAACTTCCCAACATGGTATACACATTCTTCTCTTGTTAAATACACTCCATCTTCAAGAACAACAAAGGGCTTGCCACAACGACGGCAAGTCCTTCGTGTAGCTGAAGGGAAGATTGTTTCAAAAAATATCAACCATTGAATTAATTTTGGTTGGTTAGAGCTTTAATTATTTTTTTTATGCAGATTTAATTACCTTCTTCTTTTCATCTTTTTGCTGCCTTAAAACTGTCTTCCCTTAGCTGATGTTTATTGTATGGAGAGATTCCTTTTGGATCATTCAAGGGAATGAAAGGTATAAATGAAACAGCTGGGGCACATTCCAGTTTTGGGAACATCAAATGACTAGGAGGTTCATTGTTTTTTTACACATATTGGTTGTAAAATGACGTTTAACTTTTATAAATTTAGCTCGGACCAAGAAGGATAGTCATCTGTTTTGTCTCATTAAAGAAGCCAAGGCTTCAGAGGTAACTAGCCTATGAAAATGCTGGCTGAGGGAGCATCTGGGGTACTCTGACAAATTTATGTTACCTGCTATGTTACAGTTGCTACTCTGCAAAGGAAGGCTCTGTACACTTACGATCTCTGGACAGCTCCTTTTTAGTTTTTAAAACAGCCCTCCCAGGTGCTGTTGGACAGGGACGTGGGTAACCATTATCAATTAAGTCGTCTTCACTCATCAAATACTTAGACAGGAAATCATACATCAACTCTTCTATAACATCATTAAAAAAAAAAAAAACAGGTTTTAGTGGGATAAGATAATTTTTACTTTAAATGGCTGTAAGTTGTAACTTGTACATGTAATTTTAAATTGGGTGTCAAAAGTAATCAGGGGTCAGGTTGGTTGCATTTCACATGGCTCTGTAATTGTTCTAGAAGGCTGTCAACATTGGCAATGCTGTCTCAAGCAGATCTCACTTCACAACCAGGCCCTGGTTGTTCAAAGGATGGATAACGCTATACACTGGATAAATCTCTATCCGGTGGATAGCGCAGTACGTTTTGGTAACACTTATCCGCTGGATAGCGATTTATCCGTTGGATAGCGTTATCCGCCCTTTGAACAACTGGAGCCAGATGTAGATCTATCATTGACTTTGAATGGGCACTCACTTTTTGAAAGGGTTTAGGGTAAGTCACAAGTAATCACTGACATTGATTTCTCCTTAATGCTTAAGCCCCACTATCAACATTTATATTCTCGTAACTGTTCTCCATATCATGTTTCTTATTTTTCTGATTAACAGAATTTGTTAATTTGTTCAAAAATCAAGACATTTCATCGTTGGTGATCATTTCTTTCACTCTCATGATCTTTACATTTGATCAGGCAGTGTTATTGTAAGGAGAAATTAGATGCTGGTCACTACTGGGGCTTAAGAGGTTTACTCCTTGAGACACTTTCCTCTTTCTGATTGACTGCCATGATTCCTTCTGTTTAAGAGTCTTACTTCTTTCACTGTCAAATGTAACTGCACATCTAGATCATCTAGATAATGGCAAGTTGGCTTTGTGAAGTGAGAAAGTTAGAGAAGCCCGGGAATAACCCTCAGAACCAAACAGCAAAATAAATCCACATTACATCCCCACAAACAAAGCTGAGCTTTACGGTCTGTAATCGCAGACAGGAGTTTCTCCTCTCCAAAAATCATAATCAGCAACATAACTGATTACCTGTAAATTCCACTAATCTATTCGTGTTTTTCTCATTGCCATGTTCCCACCAATCACGTAGCTCCATTTTCTGCCTTTAAAAGCACACACAACCCACAACTCCTCTGTTCGCTCCAACGAAGGGCTAACGCTCGAAACATCAGCTTTTATAACCATAACAGTGGCCAATTTACTATTTCAACTTTGTTGATATATTCAAATTATTACCTGTAAATTGATCTGTTTGTGAAACAGCTGGTTGTTGTTTTGCAGGGCTCTTAGTACTGACAACAACTGCCCCTGAAGGCAGCACTTTTGTAACAGCTACTTTTGTTGTTGTCTCACTTTTGACAGGAGAAGGCGATTCCAAGTGCGTTATACTGCGAAGTTTCTTGATTGCATTCACACAAAGATTCAAGTAAACTTGTCGCCTGGTGCTTCTTTCATATAGAGTTTTCTCTTCTTCCACAGCCTATTACAGAAAAAATTTCAAAATAAATATTAAATTTCCTACCTTTGCCCTACCATTCGACTGCATAAGGGGACAATTTATTTAATATGTAACAAGTGACTTCCACAAGTTTTTATGTTTCATTTTCAAACTACCGCATAATTGCTGCCTTTGGCTGATTATTCTTCCATATGGTGACTACATTTTGAAAAGATATTTGAGGAAGAAGGGACAGGAAAATGAGGGTACTCAAAGGAAAACAATTTCAATTATAGGTGAAGTGCTTGACGTAAAAACTTTGAATAAACTTTAGCTTTTGAATTTCAAGCTTCTGCTTCCATGAAATATGGTCTTATTACCTTTTCAAATGCTTCTTTCTCACTGCTACAAATTCTAAGGTATTCATCAACTATTCTGTCCAGGTATCTCTGACGTTGACTTTGCGGCACCTTAGCACCATACTCCACAGGGATCCTTGGTCTTGGCAGTGATCCCGCAGGGGAGTTATTCTTCAATACATGAGCCACCCTCTGTTTGGCAGGCTTGTAACCCTCTGCTTCCTTAGCAGGAGATCCCTTAGATTAGAAGAACAATTATCAATTGAAATTAACTGACCCAAAAACAATTTTTTTATCTTGAAAAAAATTTAAAAAAACTAAAATACACTCGATCCTTAACCATTTAAATCCCAGAAGTGATTAACATGAAACTTCTTCCTATAATTTCCATACATTATCCAGCAAACAGGTCAGCATCTTAGGAAATGTATAGAGAACAGTATGGAGAATATGCATACTGATGTTAGGGCATAAAGGGTTTAATGAGAAGGCTTTAAAAGGACACCAAAACAGGATTGAGTAACCATGCTTGTCAAGTCCCCTTTATTTGGGTCCTGACACCGCCTTGCCCCAGGGAAAAATTTCATAGTTACCTAAAAAGGATGCTAAGAAATAACACATTGCTTACAGACAAGTCAAAAAAGCTAAACAGAGTAACTTTTCCCATCAGTTCTTACCGATGTTGAAGGTGTCTTGGACTCGTCTTTGCTTTGTACAGCGGATAAAGTCTTTGGGTACCTTCGCACAGGGTTTGCATTTGACGATAATCTCCTAGGTAGCTGCATGCAATACAAATAACATTGTCTCATAAACACATTTGAAACGTCATTGTACTTAATATTAAGTTACCAGGATCTCATATGACCTATAACATCATGAACAAACTGATTACTACTCAATAAAGGCTGATAGTTTCTAAAGAAACTGTTTGAGACTGCGTCGGTGGGGGTAACGAAATAATTTGGATATATCAACAAAGTTGAAAGGGTAAATTGGCCACCGTAACAATTACAAAAGCTGACATTTTGAGCGTTAGCCCTTCGTTGGAGCGAATAAAGGAATTGTGGGTTGTGTGCGCTTTTAAAGGCAGAAAAGGGAGCTACGTTATAGGTGGGAAC